GTGTATCGTATGAAGAAATAGTACTTGACTTAGTTTCTCCCGGTGGTTCTTCGTAAAGAACAGGGTAAACTGAAAGCAATGAAAATTGATGGACGGTTTCCGAAATTAAAAGTGTTGCTATAAGCAATTAGTACTATATCCAAATTTTTTTCTTACTCAAACACACAAAAAGGAAATGAAATAAACTGATGTTTCAATTTTAAGAATGAAATGAAATTTCGCAGTTACTGACCAGAAAACTGATTCGTTCTTATTGGGACTCGATTTCATAGAAAGGGATGTAGATATGACGATGTTGGTGAGCTTGCCAATTGTTTTTTACCTACTATCTCCAAAAATTGCAACAAAGAAAGTAAACCCTTTTTGATTTGACCTAGTAATCAACACTACAGAATTTTCGAACTATCATTGGCAATTAGAACTTCTGCCACGCCACTCGGCTGATTTCCAAAGAGTCAGGGTATAAACAGGTCAGGTCAGATAACCTCATAGTTTTCGTATACATTACAAAACCTTTTTTTTGAATATTTTAGAAATACTTTTGGAAGAGATATTAATAAAAGAATGATAGTCGTTTTAATAGTATAGGATGAATTCTGATCAATTATATGAATTGTCGTACCCAGTTAATCATTAATTCAAGGCATAGATTTCAACTGACTATGACCAGAAGCTGTATTGGAAGATGCAAGGGTAGTACTATCGGGTACGACATCATACTGATGAGGCGATGCATATGAAGCTGTGCCCGCTTGGGATGAAGACGGCACATCGCCAGGAACGACATCATAATATCGAGAGCCGGTATATGAAGATGGTGTGAAAGTGGAAGGAACAGTTGCAGATACTCCCGTTGATGGCACGTTGCTCGCCGCTGAAAATACATGTATTAGATGAAAAGTTCGCATCACTCCGTTTTTGCTCGCAACTCAAGTCAATGCATCAAAAACTAATAAAATAAAGACCACAATCGATAAACATAGTAAGCTTTGAGGCATGAAACCAATAAGTTTAGCCACGATAGAGTCAATTTTTCCTATTTCATTTCATGATTTTGGCTGTTACACTATACTGGCCGCCTAGGCCCAAACAGCCTTCTATCCCTCTGGATTCGCTAATTGGTACCAGACTCGTCAGAGAGGATAATAGTACTGACATGTACATCGAGTGGCCACTACAAGTCATTGTATAGGTCAAATACACGCATTCAATACGCCACTACGATTCTGAAAGGAGATCGAATGCGTGGGCGCATCCCTCAGACGGGAATGATTAGCGCCCCAGGACTTTATCCTTGACACTACACTGCGCGCGTGACTTAAGCCGAAGGCTTCAATCAACTCTTTGAAAGCGCACGGCTCCGTGAGACATAAACCGTATTACTCTTGAGATGACTACCAGACTCACAAATCACAGACCCCAATCAATTACCGCCAGCGCCAAAGTTCCCCCATTTCCGGTCTGTCCTGTAAGAATCTTGCTTCCAAGACCAACAGGCAACTCCCTCCGCACCGCCGCACATCACCTCTATACTGAATACGTTCGCTAAAATCTACCGCTACTCCTAATCAAGGGGCCACAAAAGAGAATGTCGTCTCTGCGTTACAAAAAGAGGTCAGAATTTCGCAAACCAAAATTTTGTTTAAAGTACACTTTCATTTCTAGATTTCAGATTTTACTACTGGATGAAATGATAAATGAATAATATTAGGTCGACCGGAAAGATTTTCGTCGATTTTTGATAACGATTTCTTCTAACGATTCTCCTGGAAGCTTTTAAGAAGTTTAAACGCTTTTTATTTGATAAACATATACTACAGATCTATACTTGTGCCTTTTTAAAGAAAACAACAAGTTTCGTACCCACTTGTAAATCTAGAATCTGTTTGAACATGGAGTGCCAGATGGAGCATTTTGTCACATTTCACTTTTTTACTTCCATCTTGGTTCATATGCTGCTAATGTTTGCTTTGATATGGGTGAAACATAACATGACAATGTCCTATTATAGAGCATGAACATACAGCATGTGAACACTGCTCCAGAACTCGCTGTTCCAGCAATTTGTCACTTCAAAGTAGGCTCACCAGCAGCTATGGACGACGATCTTTTGATGGCATTGACCGAAGCCGATCTTCACGTAATCCATGTAGGGATTTACTGAGAAGACCAATGCATTCATGGGAATAGTTATCGAGAATATCGAAGAACTTAGGCTAGTAAAAAAGCTGGAAGTTGCGAAAGCAGATGCCACAAATGTTAAGGGAGATACACATGAGGCCGGAGTTTGTGTCTGCGATTCGTGCTCTAAAGGCAATGAAGACCACCTACTCATGAACCAAAAAGCTGCTGACAGGAAATGGAATGTTTTTGATAATTTTGCTCACAATAGTTCTAGCAAATGGAAGATGGACCTGCTCGAACGAGGTCCAAAGCCGATCATCAAAAGAAGGACACGACCAAATTGGCGTGTTTACACGGGCAAGATATAGTTTGGAGCCCTCAAAAATTAGCGAGCCGCAAAAGAGTTATGCTACGCTGTGACGATCGCATGCATTTTTGCTAATTCAGTTCTTCAATGAGGGAAGTCTTAACCGAAGATTAATACATAAGATTTTGTGGTCCAATTTCGACCAGAAAAACAAACGTCCTGTGAAAAAGAGCTATGAAATGACCACAAGGAAGCCAATAGATAACCGAACAAAACTGGGTATATATCATTGATTAGGGTTCGTTCATCGCTCGTTATACAGGCAAAAAAATTGGTTGGAGTAACGCTTAGAAGTCGAATTCACTTTCCGAACAACCCAGTGAAACGAAATTTTAAAAAATGGATTCAGCGATAGAGAAAAGTCCAACCAGTTATACTCCCAGAAGACGATTGTGAACTTAGTGCGGGTATAGGTGATGTAGCCGCAGCAATCGAGTCGAAGGCAGGTCGAGTGGGAATTATCGGCTGCGGCGATTCACTTCTGTAAAGAACTTATGACCGACTTTATTAAAAAGTTACTCAAATATTGATATAAAGCTATTCTGAAATGCCAGAATGCTTACTGCGAAACTACAATAGATTGAAAGCCTATAGATATGCTAATCCAGTACAAAGTTGATGCAGAGACTGTCGAGCCCACGGCACTTATTGGCCATCGTGTCATGCACGATTAACGGGTTAAACTAATCAAACGGATGAGGAATCGCCTCTCAGCGAGTTGCAGTGCACTTCATGTACCTGCTACAAACAACAATCGCTTTTCATAACCCTCTTCCCCTTCTTCACGGGAACATTTCAGCGTCTAGCTGCAAAAGATCGGCGAAACCTAGTTTTCCCACCTAGTTTACTTACCTCTGAGTGATGTTACTGAGAGGCACGTTCTTGATTTGTTCCCACATCACGATAAACGGATCTCGCACGCTACTGGTCGCTTGAGCTTGTGCCGCATGCATGTTCTGATGAAGTCTTGCGGGTGCCGGTGGAAGTTGATGTAAAGCGCCATTACCCAACGTTGCTAAATAATTTGGCAAGTCCATTTAAAAGCATGTTATAGAGCATTGGGACACCATTCATGTGTTCGTATAGGGAAAAAAAGATCTGCCCATCTACCGAGAACTTGCAGAGAGGAAGAATCAAATATTACAAAACGGTATACCATCTGTTTCGATTCTTGAGGCCACGGTGCCATCTACGCCGTTTCCCCCGCGTTGATTCTCGGGGAACCTATGAGCAACAATAACTAATTCCATGGAGAGGTGCCCCAAAGCTCTGGTGCCATAACAGACTATGCACAAAATAAAATCAAAAAAATTTAAAAATTATGAAAAATTGTATACCAGATGACTCTTCCTCAAAAGTCACAGGGAAGGCGGGCGAGGTCTGCGACGTGAGATTCGGTAATGATGGAGCACGAGCGGTTGATGGTTGGCTGTTGCTCGGGACACCCCAGTCTATTGACGGAAGCTCCGGTTCCAACGATGACATCGATGCAGCTGCACCGACTGGCGTTGGAGCCAACGGCGTGAGAGTGCACAATAGTGGCTGACCACCCGAAGGAAGTAAATCGTCATCCAAATCTGAACGCGAACCATTGGTCTTACGAATAGCCAACTTCATCGAATTGGCTCACAAACCAATGAGGTTAGTGCTCTGCTGCTTCGGCGGAGTGCTGTGAGGACGATTTATCGTTGGAATCGTCTTATTAGGTAAAGAAAGCGCATCGATACCTGTGAAAAAAAAAGAGTTCTCGTTTCGGGAAGATCGATTGTTTCAGAAAAGGACCTACCTAAATCTATTCCACCCGATCCATCGGGCCCGTACCAAGGTGTGAGTATCGTACTAGGGAGAAGAGCATTGTAATACCCATTGTAACAGAGCCTAGAAATAATAATACAACTATGGTTTGTTAGTGACTAAACGAATTGAGAATTCCGTTCTCTATACGTAGCTTCTCTCAAGCCGCTCGTTTTCCCTGTGAACACAGAATCCCTGCGTGTGTTCAAATGAATATCAGCAGTATTGGAATTATTCAGAAAATTCTACAAAAAATGTCGTACAACGAGTAAAATGAACTTACCACATATTGCACGGATCCCTTCGCACGGCCAGCACAGCATCACCTGGCTGAACAATCAACATCTTTCCACTAACTTTGTTGAGCTCTAAAGCTTCTGGTGATGTTGGCCACTCAGATAAACAACGATAGATATCTCCTCGACGATTCCTGGAATGAAGGACATGGACAATGCTCATTACTGAAAGTCGTAGCACTGCAAAAAATGGGTCTAAATCAAAAAAGAGACAAAGATTTGTCATCAAGGTACTGATGCCAGCGGTTCGGGGGTTGGGATTGAGCTGGGTTTCAATTCTGTAAAAAAANAAAAAAACTTTGTTGACCGTGACCACCCATGCTTCTACTGTTGTTCAAAGAACTCCGCAATTTTCACTGAAAGCATTTCTCGAGCACAAGATCTGACGGCGATGGTGGCCATGTTATCAAAGGTTTTTTTTGTGTCAGATGGTTGGCCTTCTAACACATTTCAGTACTATGTTAAACAACACGCCAGTTCTTTAAACACCATCGGTCCCATGTATCAACGGTTAGCGAGAACAGTGACTGTCACAGTAGTATAACATAGTACCGCTTCTGCAATACGCTCTTCCTACGTTTATTTTTGTTGTTTTTACTGAGTTTTTACTGATTTATTTGTGAACCATTCTCCCTCTTTTCTTGTGTCATTCAATTCTATATGAGATGGCTGCTGCTTGTACTTCCCCACCTTTACTTATTCACTCTGCTCGCCTTTCGGCGCAGAGTGAATAAATAAATATATAGACAAATAAATGGGTAATTAAATAAATAGTAACAGCACGAAGAGCGGCATAAGCGTGCACCAAAGCTAAAAATGAAGTTTGGTAAAATTTTTTCTTTCATGGTTGCTACTATCCCGCGAGCAGCCTCTGGATCTTGTTTGTATGGGTGTATGGAACCCTGCCGCAGAGGTGATGCATGCTCAACACTACCAAACCTTGCTTACTTTTACAGCTCTTTTTTCCACGTCTACAAGCTTCAGAAGAATTGACTTATTCATTCATTCATTGAACATCGCCCGCTCTGAGGAAGCTCTGGCCTCGCAATTGGCTGACCATGGTCTGACTTGTTTCCCCATGCCTCACCTTTCTCAACTTTGCCGGCATTCGAGCTTTCTTGAAACCGAATTGGAAAGCTCTTAGCGCCTCCATTCTTGTGCACATCCCGCCTCTATGGGAAGGGCTTCAATCTAGGGCAAGATCAACAGAGCTCATATAGGCTCTGTTGATCTTGCCCTGGACTCTACTAATAACCAGCCTAATCTGAACACTCCAGGCGCTTCTTCAGGTACTACAGGAATTTCGTGACAGAACGACAGACGACTGACAGACAGACAGATAGATGCGATTTAGATGTAGTAAAGGTAGAAACTTCAATGAAACTAAGGGGAGATACACTCAAAGTGGCTGGAAGCTAAAGTTCCGCCTCACGGGTTACCATATGCCGTGGATGACATTGGCAGAACTTGAACTTCTAATCAGTGCAGGGAAGACTTCTTCTCTTGAATGATTCTGATATCAGGAAGTCGTAAATATTCGTAACAAGATTTTCCCCTTATTAGCCAATGTATTATAGAGGTGACAAAGAGACATCGCAAGCACAGATTACTACAAAGGCCAGTTTTCGATGTCGTGAAAGTCATGAATCGCTGAAAGTTTCTCACATGAAATGTAAATGGGCTTACTTCAAAGAAGACTAGATGAAAATGATGCGATAAACGGTCTTACTTGAGGTCTGCCTTCACGAGAATTTGCGATCGTTCCTCTTCCGTTTGAGCTCTGAATGCTTTTTTGTCGGCTAGGGCACGAGCAACCGCGCCTTGTATTGTATCATAGTTTCCTCCACTTGCTCCTTTCCAATCACTGGCGCCTAAATTCGAATCAATGAGCTTCCTAGAGTCAGATAGATTAGGATATAAAATGATCTCACCACTTTTCGTTAGGACGTCTTCGGCCTCACTACCTGAAAAAACGAAATCCACTCAATCTTTACAGCTATAAATGCCATTCAAACGTTTTGATTAGGAGCGACCAGTTCATAAAAACCTGCCTTTCGATCAACTGTATTTCTAGTTACCGGTTTAGCAGGAAAATATATCTCTCGGAAATTAACTTTTGGAGACTCAAAGTGGAACCTACAGCACATAACCACTTTTGAAAGTGAACAGCTCCCTTAGAGCTGACTGACTTGCTGATGAACAGTGACTTGCGGGCTGATTTTTAATGGTGCCCACTAGTGTTGTAGAAGATTGACACCACCATATAAACCGAACAAATCAGCGAATCACATACACAACAATAATTTGTCAAACCCCAATTCCCAGAAACGGTATCACTGTTACTTGCTTTTATTTGGCTGAACTCTCACTGATTGTAGCACCTACTGAACCATCGCGCGACAGACATTTGCCGCACAGCTGAGTAGTCATAAGAGCACGGAAAACTTACTTTTCTGCTTGATTGGTGACAAAGATACACTGTTGAGACGAACAAATTTGGAAGCCTGAAATATGTCTCAATCCAAGGTATATAAGGAAAATCATAAAATTGAACGCACCACCTTGTTAACGATGTTGTGAAGAGGCTTCAGTCTATCTGGGTCATAATAATTGGCGAAGCAACTCATCCCAGGCACAATCAAACGTGACTTAAACATTGTCATATGGTAGATTGAAATTTCGTCATGAAATCAGTTATTATAAAAAAATATACTCGACAATGACCCACAGAACTAGCTAATGGGTCGTTTTGATAAGCAGCGATTTCTTCCTGGAATTTGGAACGAATACGAGAAATCAAGTTGGTGTCCAACTCATCCACAGTCTTCATTGCATCCCGTAAAACCTGAAATTTTTCAAAATCTCTCAGTAAAAAAATCTCAATAAAAAAAGAATGGTGGTACAGAGAAAAGATTTTTCGCCAGGCAAGAGAAGCCTCATTCCATCAGCTCCCACTCCGACTCACCGTATTTAACACGTCGATGACCTTAGGCAATGTTTGCTTGACCTGATTGTTGAGCGCTTCAAAATCCTTGAATTTCGACATGAAGTCAGACTTCTGAAATGAAACTGGAACTACAAGACGAAGCGGAGGAGGACTATACTGGTCTAATTATTACTATTTTATTGCTAGACTTTGCTGCTTCATAGTCCATCAGTTTATCGTTCCGCTTCCGTATGAGTTTCTTAGGGATAGCTCGTAGAGCCTTCACTATTTCATCTCGAACTCTGAAATAATTCGTTAGAGAGGTGAACCACATGGGAATATGAGAGCTGCACATGAAATTTCTCCAATACGCAAGTGTAAAACAAAGTTATAGCCAGTCAGAAGAACTCATCAAGTCATTTTTGACCCACAAGGAAGAACTACCCATGCAAAGAAAACTAAAGGTAAAATGTTGTATTCACCTGCTATTGAGATCGATGGCTAAGTCTTTGATCATGTCGTGGAAAGGAAACGTCTGCGCGTCAGCACTGACACCAGGCACTTCTCGCTTCCCTTAAAGTATTAGATGACCATCGGATTCACCTAACTTTACGAAAGGAAGAAAAATGGCAGCAATGAGAGAGCCTGACTCACTTCTTCACCCGACCTGTATCTGTTACTACAGCAAGGAATTTATCGACCAGTATGTCAATACAACACCCAAATTTGGTAAAAAGCAAACTTCAAACCTTACTCGGTTCAATTAGCCTTTTCTGAATTAACTGTCGTGTTTCATAGAACATTTTCTTCCTATAAATAACCAACATATAGTTGAATCGAACAAGACGTCTTTCTGCTTGATCCAATTCGCATACTAATCGATCAAAATCGGCATCCCGTGTCTGCAATGGATTCGCTTTCGAGATAAATTTATGGATTAAGAAAGCTTGGTTTGTCTGTAGATACTTGAGTTTCACATCACAATGCCGATTTCGAATGATAAGACACAATGTCTACAATTGGATACCATAAGTACGGGTGTGATGCAGCTATACTGGTTGTTGTTGACCTCCTTGGTGGGAGCATGATTGAATTGTTATATAACAAAGGGGTCGGAACACTGATGAAGTAGCTATGTAACAAAGATGGAGATGATCCCTACAGTGCCACTCTGTGGGTAGTTATCATACCAAGGAGCGTAAACCAGTTAACCAGACAGATTTTTGAATGAAGTGGGTTTCCCGTTCCTTATCGATTGCCCCTCCACTACCTTATGACATAAGCTTGAGGACAAACTTTGGCCACGTTCGTGGTCCCCCGTTTCTTTTCAATGCACGGCACTACTCTCTAATATGAAAACTTGAACCATGTCGAAGTATGAAAACTCTGCCTATGACGAAATTCCTGACATAATTCAGCTGCTAAGAGAAACATAAAAAGGCAATGAAAAACCTACCACTTTGACCACGCCAAGAGATGATCCCATTCGATATGTGAAACGATTTGTTTTCTTCTTAATTGAATGTACAGTCAACTTTGACAGCTTGTCGCCCAGGGTCGTGTTTGATTGTTCTTCAGTGTACTTGCGAGCTGAATCGCAACAAAAATCCGACTGGAAAAAAGCACAAGACACTTAACTAAGGAACACACTTAATTCTTTCCTTCGTTTACTTTCGTTCATTTTCGATCCCAAATGTGACAGCTGCTTGACAGCTTCCAACAACTTGGCGTGGTCTGGATGAGTTATGGGCGTGTACTGAAAAAAAGGTGGTTACAAGGGAAACATTGTCAAAAGAAAAGCGCTACATACCTTGAGAATTTCGCTAAGGAATAATGGATATTTCACACAGCGTTGAACAGGCCGGCTTACAGCAGTAGAAGCGTCAAATACCCCAGCTCCGCTAGCACGCATACGAACAACTAACTCACGTAGTGCTGTCTCTATTTTGGTATCATTTTTCTGAAGAAAATTTGTTTTTCACATTACTCTAGATTGTTCTCAAATCCTCCACAAGATCGTGTACGCATAGAGAAAAACGGGAATACATATCGAAAAAAGAAACAGGAAAGATGGAATGCCACAAATGTTTTCAAAACTTACTGAAGCCGTTAGCAAAGAATTGATATGATCGATATTCCTGAAGTAGTATCCGTATGTGTTCCCAAACGACTTGCGAAGCCTCAGAAAACACTCTCCTATCATTTGCTGGTCAACCGGTTTTACTAAAAAAGTTTTCCACTTCGTCTTCTCATTCAAACAAGAGTGATCAAAAAGTGCCATATATTATTTTGACTGCATTTTTGCTCCTTTTTCGTTTTGTTAACTGCTACTGTTCAGCCGCAGTATGCGATTCGAAAGGTCAACAAGGTTGGCGAGATGTGGGCAAAATTACNCTCGGATGGGACACGAACCCGTACTTGTGCTATTCAGGCAACTAAGGGTCCTGATTCGAATGTGACGCCTAGAGAATTCATGTAGCACAATACGGGTTCAAGCCCCGTTCGGGACGATGTTTTATTCATAACTCGCCAACTTTGTGAGATGCCATATCGAAAAGTCTTAGAAGCAGTTCGGTATGAGGTGCCTAGAGTGCCCCCAAAAAAAAACCTTATGGAACGTTATTCCTGAAATATATTTGAAGTTTCTGAGCTGAGAATCGCAATGAAATATCCTCCTTCGCACGAATAGAAGCCCAAAGTCTGTTCTTGAAGTCCTCGCATGTTGCATGCAAGTATCCCTCCTCCATTTCTTGGCAGCCGTTCTTGAATCTCGCCTTTAAGAATTTTGAAAAGGGACTGCAAACTAGATAGGTTCTCCTCTAATCAGAGGCCATGTGAATGAGTCAAGTTGATTGGGATCTGGAGAGCATTTCTCTATGCAAATGAAGCCGGGTAGCTGGGGTTTGCACCACTCTTGGACGAGCCATAGCTCTGTGAATGAAATACCATACTACGAAAGTGTTTCAAGAACCAGAATGGAGCAATGTTTCAGAGCGCCTATTCCGTATGCTCTTAGGAGCCTCATCTCGTCATCTGTGCAGAATGAAAATGAAATTTGGGAATTAGAACGGCCATAGAAGCTTCTGAATTTTGACGACCATAATTTCGGGACATCCAATATGTGGTGTATGTAGGAATAGAAAACCAACAGAAGCTAGAGGCAATCAAATTATTCACTTGCTTCGGTGTAACGGATTTGAAGCTGTCGAATGTAAAACAAAAGAAGAGAGAGAGAAAAAAGCAAAGGTTACTTTGCTCATTCGTGAGCCCTTGTACGAGAGCACGAGCTAGCTCAACCACTTGCGCACAACCATTTTTCATGATAACTTTTTGCTTAGTTGAGAGACGTGTGCTTCCATCAACGGCCTAAAACTTCAAAGACTGCAGGAAGATGTTAAGAATCAAAGGCTGCTTCTACAAGAATACCTCGGTATACGCATTTATATCGGTGATGAACTGTAGTTCAGTACTGATCAATTCTTCGAGGACTTTCGAGCGTTTTTCATCTTCATTCAACGCGGAATTCGATGCACTAATTACAGGAACACTCTGCAGTGACAGCATCAAATAACAAGCCAGAGGGATATTAAAGAAATGAATACCTGCTTTTCCGTCATCCCAAGCATTTCAGTAACAGAAATCATTTCCGATGGAGACATATTTGTGACCTTAAAAAATGCCCTAATCTCAAGTGAGTTGCCATTCCAAACGATAACCAGAACATACCTTGGGTGGAGGAGGGCGAGCTGGTGGTGGCTTCTTTTCAACTGTATTCCAATCATCGAATGTAGCCCATGCATGCGACTGCGTCGAAACTTAGAATATCGAAGCATTACGAATGAAAAGAAAAACGCATGCGTCATCACGAAACTATAAAAGCCTGATCATTACCGAGAGGTGGGGTAACATCCTCCACTCTCGTAGAAGTCCGCCAATCAGGAACTGAAGGAGGAGGAGCAAATGAAGAGTTGGCAAGAGTGGAAAACTAAAAGTAGACATTGCAACATTGCCCAGAAATAAGAAAAGGGACACCACCAAAAACGATTCTGTGTGAAACTTTTGTTCAGAGGAGAGATTACCACAATTAGTTATTTCTTTAAATCCAGGACCAAAATTTTTGTAAACAACTAATCCAACATTCGACAGAAATACGTTATGTTGATGATATCACATACTGAAAACAGGGAACTCGATAAGCTGTTCAATTTAGATTAACGGATCATGTGAAGCAAATATGCCTGTTCCTTTCGCTCTTCTCCTAACACTATCTAATCGCTGCTTCTATATTGATTGCTTCAAATGCACTGACCAAGGAGGGGTAGTCTACTTACCGTGGAACTTTGAATGGAGACCCAGATAAATCGATAGAGTTTTGAATGCTATTTAC